TTACACGACGAGTATAATCGACGTAGTTTTTTATTTGTTGCCGGTCTAACGCATTCTTTTTTGACGTTTTATACTTATGTTCTTCTAGAACATTCTATTGCGAACACATTGGTGTAAAAATGAAATACGTACATCGAAAATTAATATTAGGACAGTGAAAAGAATATACACTTTTCAAAGCGGGTTTCGCCAATATGCCGCCGCGGGTAACTCTTCGGCCACTTCCCACACTCTTGCGGGTGGGCTGCGACATTGATTCTATATTTATATGCATATGTCCGCGTAGGGAATTTTATTGCAATTTCAGTGATACCAAAATTAACGCCGTAGGACAAGTGTGGAGTTGACAACCCTGAAGATAGCAGAAACATTTCGTTGCTGTCTGGTGCTCACGGCTAGTGATCGACGTAGTTTTTTTTATTTGTTGCCGGTCTAACGCATCCTTATGTGACGTTTTATACTTATGTTCTTCTAGAACATTCTATTGCGAATTTATTGGTACAAAAATGAAATACGTACATCGAAAAGGAAATTCGATCAAATTCGTCAGATTCATCAAACTTATACTCATTTTGGGTGAGGTGATATGGTACAAAGTTTTGGGTGAGGTGAACAAACTTATGACAAACACAAGACAGAACACGGAACAATGGGTATAAATGGGATATGAGAACTGCAGAAGGCCTATTGGCCCATACTTCCTCTTGCTGCTTTCATATTGGTTCTGGGTCTTGAAGTTGGTAGAATATAGTTGTGCATTAATTGGCTGTTGATGGCTGGTGTTGACTTTTTTATGTGTAATGCCTCACTGATGTCGAGCCGCCTGCTATCACTGTACCTATCAATGATTTCTGTGTTGTTTGTTAAGATCTCTCTGGTGATGGTCTGGTTGTGAGAGGAGATTATATGTTCCTTGATGGAGCCCTGTTGCTTATACATTTTTAATCGCCTGGAAAGAGACGTTGTTTTCTTGCCTATATACACTGATTTCTTTGGTGCTTATAGTCCACTAGTGGGCATTTAAAGGCATAGACGACGTTGGTCTCCTTTAAGGCGTTCTGCTTGGTATCTGGAGTTTTTCATGAGTAGATTGGCCATTGTTTTGGTTTTATAATAAATTGTCAACTGTATTTTCTGATTTTTGTCTGTAGGGATGACGTTCCTATCAACAATATCCTTCAGGACCCTTTCCTCTGTTTTATGAGCCGTCAAAAATTAGTTTCTGTAAAATAGTCTAATAGGGGGTACAAGTGTTGTGTTGGTTGACTCTTCAGAGGGTGCATGGCGTTTCACCTTTCTATTTATGATGCCTTCAACAAAACCGTTAGAAAAGCCGTTGTTGACTAGGACCTGCCTTACCCTACAGAGTTCTTCATCGAATTGCTTCCAATCTGAGCTGTGGCTGAGAGCACGGTCGACGTAAGCGTTGACAACACTCCAGCAGTCACTCTTGGCATTAAGGCACATTCCTATGTTGGTTTCCTTAGTGTAGACTGCAGTGTGGAAGCCTCCGCTCTTTTCCGTGACTGTTACATCCAGAAAGGGTAGCTTCCCATTATTCTTTATCTCGTAAGTGAAGCTCAACACAGAATTCCGCTCAAATGCCTTTTTCAGCTGCTGCAGACATCTGGCATCAGGTACCTGCATAAAAATGTCGTCAACATACCTGTAGTATATGGCGAGTTTCAAGCCCATGTCAACTAAGACCCTCTGCTCGATGGTGCCCATGTAGAAGTTCGCAAACAGGACACCTAGGGGGGAACCCATGGCGACCCCATCTACTTGCTTATACCTGTGCCCATCTGGCCTCAAGAAAGGTGCCTCTTTAGTGCAGGCTTGGAGTAGTTTTCTCAACGAGTTTTCTGGCATGTCAAGAGTCACGTTTTCTGGCAAGCTGGGTCACGATACACTCTGTCTACTATCATCCCGATTGTTTCGTCCACCGGCACGTTGGTAAATAGTGACTCTACATCCAACGAGGCTCTTATTCCCGTGGCCTGCGCTCCCCACAGTAGGTCAATAAATTCCTTGGGAGACTTCAGGCTAAAAGCACAAGGTACGTAACCCGTTGAGTCGTTCAGCCAGTCTGTTTTTGGGAGTGGGTATCTGGCTGATGATTGGCCGAAGTGGGTTTCCAGGCTTGTGGGTCTTGACATTTCCATAGGCATACCCAGGTTCGTATTTCCCAACAACTTTTGGCAGGTGGAGTCCGGATTTCTTGGCATTCACAGTTTCGATCAATCTGTTTACCTTCGTTTTCAGTTCGGTTGTAGTGTCCTTCGTTGCCCTTTGGAATTTGAATTTGAAAATATGAACCTCATACTCTCCGACCAAACCAAATTCCCAAGCCAAGTGTTGACGTTGATGACGTCAACACTTAGGGACATGATTGATGCCATCATCACTCGGGGCAGTGGTTGATGCCGTCATCACTTGGGGCAGTGGTTGATGCCGTCATCACTTGGGGCAGTGGTTGATGATGTCATCACTCGGGGCAGTGGTTGATGCCGTCATCACTTTGGGTTTTGGTTGATGACGTCATCACTTGAAGCAGTGGTTGATTACGTCATCACTTGGGGCTTTGGTTGATGACGTCATCACTTGAGACAGTGGTTGATGACGTCATCACTTGAGGAAGTTGTTGATGACGTCATTTCTTGGGACTTTTGTTGATAACGTCATCACTTTGGGTTTTGGTTGATGACGTCATCACTTGAAGCAGTGGTTGATTACGTCATCACTTGGGGCTTTGGTTGATGACGTCATCACTTGACGCAGTGGTTGATGCCGTCATCACTTGGGGCAGTGGTTGATGCCGTCATCACTTGGGGCAGTGGTTGACGACGTCATCACTTGGGGCAGTGGTTGATGATGTCATCACTCGGGGCAGTGGTTGATGATGTCATCACTCGGGGCAGTGGTTGATGATGTCATCACTCGGGGCAGTGGTTGATGCCGTCATCACTTTGGACGGGTGTTGATGCCGTCATCACTTGGGACTATAGTTGATGACGTCATCATTGGGAACAGTCGTTGATGCAGTCATCATTAGGGACTGTTATTGATGACAAACAGCTCTATTCCTACCTCGTAAAATTCGGCATACTCAGCCCCTGTCAGTTTGGTTTTTGGTGCCCAAAAGAGCACCAATGATGAAATTATTATTCTCCTTGACGTAATCTACTCAGCCCTTGACAAAAAGGAGTTTCCGATTGGACTCTTCATTGACCTGAGAAAGGCCTTTGATACCGTTAATCACAACTACCTCTTACTTAAACTCCAGCTTTATTGAATCCGAGGCCTTGCCCTGGATTATATCCGATCCTATCTTAGTGACAGACACCAGTGTGTAGCCATCAATCACCTCTCCCACTCTACCAATAACCGTTGGAGTGCCACAGGGCTGCATCTTGGGACCTCTCCTATTTTTTAAATATATATTAATGATCTACCTAATGTCACTAATATTCTTAAACCTATATTGTTTGTTGATGATACTACCCTCATCTATTCCGACCCCAACCCACATACACTAAATAATGTTGTGAATAATAAATTAAAAAAATCCCCTTATGGATGTCAACTAACAAAGTAACACTAAACATAGAGAAGACCTACAACTTCTTATATGCAAGCAAATCATCAAATGCAATTCAGCTACAGATAGACAATATTAACATCAATAATAAAAATGATGGAAAGTTTCTTGGCATATTCTCCGACAAGAGACTCAACTTCAGCACCACATTCAACACATTACTAAGAAAGTCTCTAAAGCAGTTGGTATACTCTCTAAAATCAGATATTACGTTCCTAACTCTGCTCTCCTCTCACTATATTATGCACTAATCTATCCCTATCTTAATTATGATATCTGTGCATGGGAGTCAACCACTGCAAACCACCTCTAGCCCATCATTACCCAGCAAAAATCTGCTATCAGAATAATAAAAAACACTGCTTTCAGGGAACACACAGCCCCCTTGTTTAAATCCCTAAACATGCTAAACATAAATTCACTCCATACATTCTCTTGTGTCAACTACATTTGCAAAACCCTGTTCTTAAATGCAAACCATGCTTTGAAACTCTTCCTGGTCAGATGTAATAGGATCCATTATCACCACACCAGAAATAAATATCTCTTTGATATCCCAAGAATCAAACTTAATCTGTGTAAACACTCTATGCAAATGAAGGAACCTAGTTTATGGAACTCACTCCCTAATGAACTGAAAAGCTGTCCAACCTTTGCCTCATTCAAAAACAAAAACAAAAAGTACCTAATTTCATCTTCATAGTTTCCTACTCTGTGCTTTAAAATTGCTCTGTATCTAGTGTTACCCAATCTCCCAATCTTTATGTACCTAATCCAAACAACTTTACCACTGTGATCATTGCTGTCTTCTTATATGTGCTGGCAATATGCTGTATTGTGCCTATTAATCTTTGTTAAATTACCATTCAAGCTGTCAGTGCAATCAATCTGAGCAATCAATCTGAGCTCAATTAGGGAGCCGGTCGGCCGAGCGGACAGCACGCTGGACTTGTGATCCTGTGGTCCTGGGTTCGATCCCAGGCGCCGGCGAGAAACAATGGGCAAAGTTTCTTTCACCCTATGCCCCTGTTACCTAGCAGTAAAATAGGTACCTGGGTGTTAGTCAGCTGTCACGGGCTGCTTCCTGGGGGTGGAGGCCTGGTCGAGGACCGGGCCGCGGGGACACTAAAGCCCCGAAATCATCTCCAGATAACCTCCAGATACCTATGTGCTTTAATATACCTTCAAATCTCTCTCGTATCATTTTTTTTTCTTGTAATGTACCTGTTATTATTTTACAAATTTTGCTAGTATTTACCTACTTAAAATTTTCTGTTAGATTAAGGACCTGCCTGAAACGCTGCGCGTACTAGTGGCTTTACTAGAATGTAAACACTATGCTATGTTGCCTCACAATCCCAATGTATCTTTTTGTATGTATATCAATAAATAAATAAGTAAACTACCGCCCGCAGGATGGGTATTTGGTCCACTGGGTGTGGGCGGTATTTGGTCCACTGGGGGTGGGCGGTATTTGGTCCACTGGGGGTGGGCGGTATTTGGTCCACGGGGGGTGGGCGGTATTTGGTCCACTGGGGGTGGGCGGTATTTGGTCCACTGGGGGTGGGCGGTATTTGGTCCACTGGGTGTGGGCGGTATTTGGTCCACTGGGGGTGGGCGGTATTTGGTCCACTGGGTGTGGGCGGTATTTGGTCCACTGGGTGTGGGCGGTATTTGGTCCACTGGGGGTGGGCGGTATTTGGTCCACTGGGGGTGGGCGGTATTTGGTCCACTGGGGGCGGGCGGTATTTGGTCCACTGGGCGTGGGCGGTATTTGGTCCACTGGGGGTGGGCGGTATTTGGTCCACTGGGGGTGGGCGGTATTTGGTCCACTGGGTGTGGGCGGTATTTGGTCCACTGGGGGTGGGCGGTATTTGGTCCACTGGGTGTGGGCGGTATTTGGTCCACTGGGGGTGGGCGGTATTTGGTCCACTGGGTGTGGGCGGTATTTGGTCCACTGGGTGTGGGCGGTATTTGGTCCACTGGGTGTGGGCGGTATTTGGTCCACTGGGGGTGGGCGGTATTTGGTCCACTGGGGGTGGGCGGTATTTGGTCCACTGGGGGTGGGCGGTATTTGGTCCACTGGGGGTGGGCGGTATTTGGTCCACTGGGTGTGGGCGGTATTTGGTCCAGGATGGGGCGCCTGACAGCTGAGTGGACAGCGCTTCGGATTCGTAGAACTGAGGTTCCGGGTACGATCCCCGGTGGAGGCGGAGACAAATGGGCAAAATTTTTCTTTCACCCTGATGCCCCTGTTACCTAGCAGTAAATAGGTACTTGGGAGTTAGAGCTGCTATGGGCTGCTTCCTGGGGATGTGTAACAAAAAGGAGGCCTGGTCGAGGACCAGGGCCGCGGGGACGCTGAGCCTCGAAATCATCTCAAGATAACCACTGCCGTCCACAGAATCGATATGAGGTCTACCACCGCCCACAGGATTGGTATATGGTCCACTACAACCCACAGGAGGAGTTTGGGTGCACTACCACGTGTAGGATGGGTATATGGTCCACTAGCCTCCACAGGATGAGTTTGGGGTTCACTAACGCCAACAGGATGGGAATATGGTCTCCTAATACCCACAGGAAAGGTATAGTGTCCACTACCACCCACAGAATGAGTTTGGGGTCTACTAACGCCAACAGGATGGGTATATGGTCCACTACTATCCACAGAATGGGTATAAGGTTCACTACCGCACACAAGATGGGTATGGGGTCCGCTAACGCTAATAGGATTGGTATATAGTCCACTACTACCCACATGATGGGTATAGGGTCCACTACTGCCCACAGAATGGGTTTGGGTTCCACAACCGCCCACTGGAAGGGTATAGGATCCACTACCACCCACAGGATGGTTATGGGGTCCGGTATCATCCACAGGATATGCATGGGGTACACAACCAGGTTTTGGAAGGGTATGGGGTCCACTACTGCATACAGGGTGGGTATGGGGTCCACTACTGCATACAGGGTGGGTATGGGGTCCACTACTGTATACATGGTGGGTATGGGGTCCACTACTCCATACAGGGTGGGTATGGGGCCCACTACAATCCACAGGATAGTTATGGGGTTACTATCGCTCACTAGAATGGTACTGAACTCACTACCACCCACTGGATGGGTATGGGGTCCACTCCCTCCCACAGAATGGGTATAGGGTCCACTACCGCCCACGGGATGGATAAGAGGTTCACTATCGCACACAAGTGGGTATAGGATCCACTGCCGCCCACAGGAGGATTATGGGGTCCACTACAGCCCACAGGATGAGTATGGTGTCCACTACCGCCCACAAGATAGGTATGGGGATCAGTATCATCACAGGATGAGTATGGGGTCCACTATCGCTCACAAGATTGGTATGGGCTCCCCTACTGCCTACAGGATGAGTATGAGGTCAAGTACCATCCTCAGGATGGGTATGGGGGTCCACTACCATCCACAGAATGGGTATAGGAAACTCGTCAATGGATCTGGGCTATTGATCGGGCTCAAACATTTCAACATAACGCTGTTGCTATATATGGGTCCTCAGGTTCCTCAATATACGACTCCTACATGTCTCAAGGCAAAGCGGAACGGGTGAATACTGTCGGCAGATCCTCACGTTACGAACAACCATCACGGAGTAATGTTGCTTTCAGTACCGTCCCCGGAACTCCCACAAAAACTCAAGACACATCATCGGATATTTGCCCTTCTGGCCATGAAAATATCTCTCGACTGCAAACGGGTGCGTGATCATGTTCTACGCCTCCTACAGGAATGGATGCGAAATTGGACAAATTGGCGTCGGGAATCTCCGAGATTAGGGACGGAATCTAAGGGCTTGGTGTCAAACTGGACATTGCGTGTGTTAACTTACAGCGTCTCAGAGACGCCATATTATCTCCTCCAGCTCGCTGGCGATATTCATTCAAGAGTTCTTAGCACCAAACAAGACATTTATTTCAACGATGAAGAGCTGAATTCTTTAAACACGTTCGTGTCGGCTCAACAGACCCGGACGTGGTTAAATAATAACCTAGGTAAAACCTCGGTAGAACCTGGGTAAATCCGACCCAGCCACCACCAGGGCCCCCAATGTCCACTTAGGGTACGGCCACGGAACGTTGTAAGTAATCTGATGGTTAAGGTCAATAGGATTCACCTTTCATCCTTGGAAGACCCTGCAGAGGGTCATCAGATTTCATCTATGCCCTTGGCCTACATAGATTTCATCTATGTAGCCCAAAAGCTCGTCAAGTAAAGTTCCCTCAATCCCAGATAGCAGGACCATGGAAGTACTTCAGAACCATACGCTAGTACAATAACCTAATCAAGGGCAGAAGACTGCTCAGACAAATACCCAATCTTCAGAAGAGGAGACAGAAGTAAAGGCTTGTTCAGAAATTAATCATGTAATGCGTTCAGGTGCAGAGGCAGCAGATACGGACAAGGAAGATCAGCAGAATTCGGCTACGCTAAGCGGGAACTCATGAGGTGACGTTCCTTCAGTGGTCAAGTGCAGGATAGAAGTGATACTTCAAAACAGTGCCTTTACTGAACAAATAGGATCAGGTAGCGGCTCGGGTGGACAGTCAATCTTTAGCGGGATTAATTAAGACTTCAGAGCAGAGATGTGAGGACGTCTCCTTCTGGTCTTATTTTAAAGGAGGAGTTAGGTTACAGGAGCTGCCCAACGGGAACTGTAATTACGGCCAGAGAACCCACAGGAAGGAGCCAGCTTCTTGCAGGACGAAGATACAATTCGGAAACGAAAAAACAGAAGAAAGTAAAATAGGAACCAGCAGTTGGTAAATTATCTGAAGGCATAGACCCAATTGCTTTCTCTTCGGATAACGGGGATGAGGTGTGTGGAAAGTGTTGCTGTCAAAGAATGAACCACAACCAAGGAGCAGCACTTATTCATAAGGGCCATTACGAAAACAGTATTTCTGCAGTGTAGTGTTTAGTGTAAATAAATAATGATCTGTGTACAAAAATAATACTCCCTCAGTTAATTTCCATATGTAATAAATAATAAAGTTCAAGGAAGTAACTGCGCAGCCTATGGGTCTTATTTGTAACTTAACATTAATAATATAACTATTACCTTATTCAGTCACAGAAATAAATGAACTATCAATATTATGTCAGTGCATGAACCATGAGAAATTTCACAAATGAAGAAAAATACATATAAGTTGTTAGATACTTCCTTAAGTTGAATCAGAAGTGTTTTATTTTGTTGCCTCATGATGCAATTCCACTCCTCAATGTGGAACTGGTGTAGATTACTTTTCAAAAGGACATGTTAAGTTTAAATTGAGCTCCACCCCTCTCCTACCTGAGAAACCTAGACTTGCTTCAGCTACCTCCTCAGAAGCCAACAGCTGCAGGTGACCCTCAGTTACTTGTACCCATCAAGTCTCACACGTGGGCAGCCGCCATTAACCCCTTAGGCGACCCCCCCCCTCAACAATATCAATGAAAAAATCCGTAGGAGCCGTGATGGTGAGTCAAACCTCTTCAACAGTCACTGTGACACAGTGGTAAAATACTCGTCTGGTGCTTCGTGAGTGCTTTCGCCATGGTTCGTATCCTGTCTGGGAAGATTTGAAGGGGCGCCAATCCTTAACTCTAGCCTCTGTTCACCCAGCAGTAAGTAGGTACCTGGTTGTTAAACATTTTGGAGGTTCATATTCAAGGGAAAAATTTGGATTAAGAACCTGCCCAAAACGCAATGCGTGCTAGTGGCTTTACAAAGATGAATGAACTCTTTTATATATAAATCAATAAATAGAGTATGTAAGGGGTACTCTCAGGCACACGCCTTAGGCAAGTAGGCCACGACATGGTTTATCAATGAAATATCTCATTGATAGATTGGAGAAGTTTAAGCCACCCAATCTGTTGCACGGGCATGAATAGCCCGTAAATGTATCTCATAGAACAAGATGCATTTTTTATAGGCTAATCAAGAACTTCATGCTCGGATTACAGACGAGCTTCCCTGTGACGTAACCCTCTCAACTACTGACCGATTTCCCGATACCTGTTAACTAGAAGGTGAACAACAACGTCAACGAAAGGATCCACGCAAAACCGTGCTCCTAGGGGGTCTAATCTAGGACCTTCGGATGTGAGCCGAGGACGCTGGCCAGAGAATGAGGGATAAAAGGATCACTGCAAGATGGATCACTGTATTAGGATAAACATTCCTTTCGTCTTTACTCCAGTACTCGCGGCAGGGAGACCCGTTTTCTTTAATTTTTTTCTTATAGAACACGAATGACAAGTCAGAAACAATCAAAGACGTATATAAATAAAAAATACAAAGGAATGATTAATGTAAATGTATCAGAACATTATTGTTTGACTGATACAGTAGATAGTCCTATTAGAGAAGAACATACAGGTAAAGTGGATACAGGCAAGGTCCACAGGAACATACAGAGCGGTGGATACAGTCAGGGTACACAGGAACATACAGTACGGTGGATACAGTCAGAGTACACAGGAACATTCAGTACGGTGGATACAGTCAGGACACACACGAACATACAGTATGGAGGATACAGTCAGTGAACACAGGAACATTCAGTATGGTGGATACAGTATACACAGCAACATTCGGTATGGTGGATACAGTATACACAGCAACATTCGGTATGGTGGATACAGTCAGAGTACACAGGAACTTACGGATACAGTCAGTGTACACAAGAACATACAGTATGGAGGATTGTTATGACCCCATGTGACCTGGGTGGAACGAGTCTATCTTTCTGAGTTATTCAGCCTTCCCAACCTGAGACTGAGAGATCAGAGGAAAGATGTATATATTAATTATATAATTATAATTATATTAATTATATAATTATAATTAATAATTATATTAATTAATAATATATTAATTTGCTCTGTACCTAGTGGTACCCAATCTCCTAATTTTTATGTAATATCAAACCTTATCATTGTGTTCATTGCTGTCTTCTTTTATGTGCTAGCCATATGCTGTATTGTGACTACCAATTTTTGTCAACTACCATTCAAGCTGTCATTGCAATCAATCATAGCTACCTATGTGCTTTAATATACTGTACCTATAATTTTCTCTCATCTTTTTTTTTTTTTTTTTCATTCCATGTAATCTGTTATCATTTTTTTGTCTATAAATTTTGCAAGTATTTACCTCCTTAAAATTTTCTTAGATTAAGGACCTGCCCGAAACGCTGCGCGTGCTAGTGGCTTTACAAGACTGTAATTACCATAATTGTATCCTCACATTCCTTATGTACATTCTTGTATATGCATAAATAAATAAATAAATAAATAAATAAATTAAATAATTGAATAGACGTCAGTGAGTAATCTCAGGATACTAGCGGAGGATGGACGTTAGTAATGAGTGACATGAAGTGAGATGTCGATACTTCAGGGACGTGAAGTGATGCTAGCAGGAGGTCATGACCTCACTTGAGTCGCAACTGCCTTCGGAGGTGGTTGTACTTCGTTGATTGTCCCAGAATAAGGAAGAATGTTGTTCCCTGTGTTAGTGCTGGAGTGAAGACTACGTGCCTGCAATTGTGAGGAAGATGTTAGGGACAGCACAACATTTCTCTGATTTTGATAAATAGAGGTGCCCTGAAGTAAGTGTTGATCGTGCCTTGGTGAAACTCTAATTGTTGTGCCTTCAAGAGGAAGGAAGTAAGCAGGCGTTTCTGTTGTGGCGCCTGCCAGACGACATTGTGAACTCAAGTCTTGGACTGGAGGAAGCTTTGTGAAGCAGTCTTGAAGCATTTTTGTGGGAGGCATATGTGAGTGCCATGTTTGAGCTCCAGTGAGTGAGTGTCCTCACTCAGAGATTTTGGAGGTAATCCTGTTTAATCAGTTGTTAACTTAGCCACTAGTGTTTGATCGTGTGCCCAGCGATCATAGTGAACATATATATATATATATATATATATATATATGTAGGATAGATATTTTATTAAGACTGTGAGCTAAAATAAGTAGTTAAAGTTGGGAGGACATGCTAGAGGGAGGAACGGTACATCCTCCCTCGTCAAAGGTCAGTGGATGACTGAGGGGGGAAGCCCCAGCGATGCAGCAGCCCAGCGGCTCGCCAGCGACGCGTCGAGACATGCTCCCAGATGGTCCCGCCCAGGATGGGGGAGGACCCACATTGGCGAAGTCGTAGTGCCAGCATAAGAATGTCAGATGGAGGTGTTTATTTTCTGTGAATACATTTAATTATGTTTTGTTAGGAAAACATTTTTATTGGCATGGTGACGGAATTGCAGGTTGGTTTGGGAAGGAGTTCGTGGAGAAACTTCGAGGCTAGAGAAGAAGATAATGGAGGAACTCTGAGGCAGGATAAAAAGTATATGCTGAGCTCTGTGGCAGAATTTCACAGTAAGGAGTTGACTTCAAGCCGAGTAGAGGAGCCACACGTGTTTCTATGGAATCATTGGTGAAGCATTACTGATATTGGACTTCTTCTTCACGCTTCCCGTGAAACGAATCAACTTCTGACATCTGACACCATTCAACTTCATCACCTCTACACTCCTGTTCCTGTCGTCAACTTGTTACTCTACTCTCGTCCTCAGGCTGTCCATATTCTTCTTCATCTAT